AAAGGGCCTAATTAGGAGCCAAGCAAGAGGTGAAAAAAAAAAAAAAAAAAAAAAGAAAAAAAAAAAAAAAAAAAAGAAGATGAGCAGAGGCGGCTTGGGAACTAGGGAAAGGTGAAAATTCTCTTCCTTTTTTTGTACGCCTTTGTGTTCTGAAGAATCATTATCGTCATCTGTCTTCATGCATCTTCATGCATCATATGCTTCATTCCGACAAAGTGAATATCTTTTGCACAAAATTCCCAAAGAGTTCCCCACACACGTCCTCCTTTGATTGAGTTTTGGTGACTGTAATTAGTAAAAGTGGTTGAAAGAGTTGACTAATCAAGGTGTATCACGAGCCACTTAATCAGTTAACGGTAAATGGGTGGAGTGAAAGCTATGTGGGGTTTCGCTTTTCATCTATTTTTCTCAAAGCTGGCACCTAACTGTGAGCCGCTCTTTACCTTTTTCTATCTTTTCCACTTTTGCAGGTTAGAGGTATCAATGTCTTAATAATAATAATAATAATGCTGCTGCGGTCTTCGTTGTGCTGATGAGGAGCCTTTGCTAGAAGAGAGGCTAGAGAGAGAATTTATTGGATCCGATTTCATAATTTATTATTCTAGTTTACTAGATTACTTTTGTTGATTGTATTTGCATCTTAAATTCTTCATTTTGTACTGGACTGTGATGTCACTGCACCCAGTATATTGTAGCTTAATTTCAAGACTTTGACATGAAAACGCGTCTGTCATGTAACATAAAAGATCGAAAGGACTTCGGAAGAAATGAAAGTGAAATCCCCTCGAGGTTAGTGCACCAAATAAAAAAAGTGAGCAATTTTAATAACTGGTTCTTTCCCATAGTGATTCTTTCTAATCAATACAAGTGGATTACAAAAATGTAAGGCTCGAGTCTTGAGCGGACGGCGCTGAAACTATAGAAAAACCTAGCAGACCATAAAAGGGTTGGTTTACATAATTGCGAGCTATGGCCAACATATATAAATCGACCTAAACGATAAAAGCCAAGTCAATCATGGAGATAATTAGTTGACCAAAACCACCCTAATAACCCACATTTTACCTCCCTAAGCACTCCCTAAGCAGGAATCTTTTGTCCAATCTAACAGCCTCCCAAAATTTTCTTTCAGAAATAAGAGAAAAAAATAATACAATAATAGAATTTTTAAGAAGGGATTCCAAGCTGCATCAATGATATGCAACCCTTCAAAAATTTCGTATATAGCTCTGGCGTGCCGATTTAATGGATCTTTAACTTCTCAATTGCTAATTGTCATGTCCAATCCGCCGAGCTAAATGTAGAATGCGACGGGCTCACAATGCCTGCACAAGTTAGTTGTCAACAAAAGCCTTGAAGCCATAAAATAGCAAAATACTTCCAGAATTACGTCCTCAAGAACCCTGCGAGGTCTCGCCCACTCCTGCATTTGGTTCAGTTTTAACCCTTTTATAGAACAACACATAGGCAGCTGAAGTTCTGATCTCGGATTCATTGACGGGAGAAACATGACTATCATCAAAATGGTACCATCTGTTCTCGTCGATCAACTGCATGATTAAAAGAAGTTAAAACCTTGAATTTGATAAATAAGTTCGTGAAACCTGGTAAACCATATATGTTAGAAAAACACCCGACTTCTTGCTTCAAATATGGATCCTGGAATATTTAGCAGAATACAATACGCAATGACGATGTGGTGAGACATCATCAACTAGCTGTACGTCCCCACGTAAATTTTAAACACTAGAAAAACTAGAATCTGATTGTTTACCTTAGCATACGCAGTGTAGTGGCCACCGCCTAGACCACCATAATGGTTGCTAATGGCATATAGTTCGTAAACATGGGGCTTTCCATCCTTGCTTATCACGTATTTGCTCAAATCAAGATCATGAATAGGAAAATTCACAAACGTGTCTAATTTGTTCTTTGAATATCTGCTATATGAGAATCTTTTCAAGTGGAAAACAAGAATCTCAGGCAACATCCACAAGTCTAGCTTCTTGGTAGCTTGTCTATGTTCCTTGCACTCGGGGCAGTACCTAATAAAAAACAAACAAATAAAACATTAATTAAGATCACAGTATGGTCACGGACGTATATTTGAAAATAATGCCATTAAATGCTATTTAAACGAGGTCAAACTACCCACCACATGTCATCAGGCCCCAGAGGTTCTTCCTTCAAAAATGCCTCCAAGCACGTAAACAAAGAAATAGCTTCTTGACGAGTTTTCTTCACAGTGAACCCAGCCTTCTGAACCTCAGGGAGGTCCTTGAGGTAGCTTATATCATATAAGTCATGTTCTTCATCACTCCAGTCCAAAAAGACCTTTACAACTCGTGCTGAATTCACTACGGAGTCCTTCTCAATTGGCTTGCAACTTGAGCTGTTTCCATCAGTTACAAAAAGCTGGAAGGACAATTCACTGCTGGATGTTTCCTCCAGTTCCGTTTTGTCCATGGACAGGCTCCTGAAATTAGAGCTGTTTGATGGTTCCTCAATAGCACCTTTAACACAGCCATTTTCCTTTCCATTATGGAGCTTACCCGAAGAACGCGTTCTTTTCAAAGGTGACAGCAATCTAGAAACAGATGCATCAATATCAGCTCCACTTACTGGGTCTTCCAAATAAGTAACAAGAGGAGTACCAATAAACTTCCCCTGATAACCTTTAATACTGTCAGATGAACATCTGAGAAATCCACATGATTCAGTTAGAAAATCCAGCCAAGCAAAATGAGGTGGGTAGAAAAGTTCGACAAGTTTTCAAATAAACAAATGGATTTTATAGCCAAGTGCATAATCCAGTCAATACTTGACTTTGAGTGAATTTTCAGCTTTTTAATGGACAAGTCTTATGTTCTGAGATGATTATTTCAGAATATTCCCCTTCTTACAACCAGATAACGAAGCTCATATTTCACAAGTTGGGTTGAAAATACCAGCTGCACTTCACAGGTTTACTCTCTAATTACAATTGCCAAAGACAAGGTTTATAGTGTACATATAAGACGATTTTTCAAGTTTTCTTCAAGATTTTATTAATATATTTTGGTTCAATGGCTTCTACCAAAGCTTCTTGTGAAGGAAGCAAGCTTACTTTTCGTGTGGTCGATGAATTATTTCAATTCTGGTTCTTCCCACCCAATTTTTACAAAGTCGGTAAGCCACAATATGGTTGTCCTCCTTAATAGAAGCCAATGGTTCCGAGGGGTTCTCTAAATATCGAAAGATCCGCTTTTCATACACCTGACAATTGTAACTATAGTTTCTCAGCCACCAGAACAAAAACATAAAGAAAATCTGAAAAGCATATAAGAAATCAATGAGACCAAGGTTACCTCGGCAAGCAGAAGAATTTCGTCACTCTTCAAGCAGCAAGCAGAACTTAATGCCTCACTAAGATCCTTGCAGCAACCTTGCTTGAGCAAATTAACAGTATACGGAATTGGAAGGCCACTTCCATCACCACAAAACACAGTTACTGTCATTGGTCGAGTTACAGTTGAAGGAAGCGGCAGTGATAAATACATGAACGGGTCAAAAGTGATTGAAATCTTTTCACAGGCAGGGCAAACCAGTGTCGACTTATATTGGCCCTGAGCATCAAAGATATCTAAGATTATGAGCAAAAATGATAAACTTACACCGCCATATAAGAATAAAGAAAATAGAAAGGAGAGAGAGAAACAATAAGCAAAGTCCTGTAATTTCCACTCACTTGGCAAACATCAACGATCAATGAATCATTCCGGGCCTTGTGATTTTTCCAACACTCATCTGCAACTTCTTCATCTTGACGACCATCTGAATCCTTTGTTTCAATGTAAGGCTTTCGTTTGACACGATTTAAATCTTCATGCAGCCCATCCAATAAGAATGCAAGAAGTTCCTACAAAGAAGAATTTTGTCACACACAATAAACTCTATACAAGACGGTATAAACATATACAACTGACAAATTAAAATGATCACCCTATAAGGCTTATCCCTATGCAACGTGAGCAAACGAATCATACAAGATAATGAAAAGCATACCCTTGTTGAAGGATTAACAAATCTAACAACCCTAAAAAAAAGTTCAGATGAGTATGATTGGACTAGTATATAGAGGTGCAGGTTGTAGAAACAGCACAGTAAAAAACAATAAAGGACCCAAAATCTGACCAACATAACTTAAGGGTGAAGGAAAAATATGAACAACCAAACTTAAGCGCAACAGTCATGATATCATCAGCAAGCACAAATTCTTAACCAGAATAATTTAGAGATAGAAAACTAAATAAATAACTGATTGGCCAATCCATACTTCCATATGATAATTTTTTCTTTCAGGGAAAGAACATTTCTTCCACCCACGTAGTTTGAAACAGGAAACTAAAACTTGTAGAAGGAAATATCAAATGATAGATCAATGAAAAGTAATAGAGGAAACAGAAATTTTCAAGCAATATACAGTACTTACTTGAGAATCATGCTGGTTATAGCCACTGAACTGGGGAGCAAATCTAGCTAATTTTCCCTTAAAAGCACGTGGTGCAATTGTAGTTCGGCCTGAGGACCACAGTTTCCTCAACAGCTCACCAAAAGCAAGTGCAAGCTCACCCTGCACAGCTACAATATAGTTTAGGAACTTTTAAAGCAGGAAAGCTATTGCAGATTTCATGTAATTCACATCAAGCAAGTGAATCATAAATAAGAACAGAAACCTACATGCATTCCCAAAGGATTTTCTGTATTGATCTCGTCACTGTAATCTTGCAAGAAGTACTCAACAAGAGGTGGCGTATGAACTAGACACTGAAGGGCACTATTCATAAAACAAGTATTTCCTAGATTCTGCAATCCTGCCAAACCTCCCCTTTCTCCTTTTCTCAATTTATAAGCATCATATCCATCGTCCATATCCGAGAATGATGAACTTACAGCACTTCCCTGATATAAATTAAAATTATATCCTGTCGAATGACCATTGGACATTGTCGGCCCCCCAGCAATTGTAACTGAAGACCTTGATGGTTCTAGAGACACCAAAGCCAACTCGTTTCCTGTTGAATCCTTGCCTAATCGAGAAGTATAGTTTCCATCTTGAACCTCAAGAAGAATCTGCAGTAAAAAAGAGTCCACAAAGAGTGACTTCAGTTAAAACTTAAAAGCAGCACTTGAGAGATTATACAAAAGTCAACCAATAATAATTTAAGAAAAATTCAGTCATTTTCACTTTTCCAAAAGTCAACCAATAATTTTCAAATATTATAAGTTTCTTGAATAACTCTGATTTTCTGAACGCAAACTCAAGGCATTAGTATTACATGCATCTACGAAAGGAAAATTTCAACCAAATATATGAGAAACAGAAATCGTATCAAAGGAAAAAAAAAAAGAAAAAGGGGGACAAGAAATCCTTGAAGAGAAGAAAAGAAGAATCCCACAAAAAGCTACATCAAATAAAATAACCTCAGTGCCTAAAAATCAAAAGGGAAAGTCTCCAAAATTACTAGATAAAGACACCCAACAAGAAGCCCAATGTTGAACTGTTCCCAAAAAAAAGCTTCATCTAGAGAAATGTTCTAAAAATTACCAAATTTTCTATTAAAAAAATTGATATATAATCACAGTACTCACTTCTTGATCCATCTGCAAATTTGAGTCCTCTAAAGCTCGGTTTGAAATGCTCAGAATTGCATGCTTTCGCTTATTGAAGTAGTCCCAAATACAAGCCTGCCAATTTAGGGATAGACCAAGACTTCATTAGAAATAAAAATAAAAAATAAAAAAAACACTTAGAACGAACTGAAGGGAAAAAAAAATGCCAATAACAGTATGAAAAAGATACCTTTTCTTGCTCCAGTTCTCTGAGCCTACACACCTTCTCATAAAGCTCCCTTACAGAAGCCTGAAGGAAATAAACCGTGTCAGTACCTTCTCTTTCAAAATCATTGTAATTACAGAGGCATCAATTAAACATAATTGCCCCACGTGAAAATTCTTTTTTTTTTTCAGGGGGTAACAATACTTTTAAGCTCACAATAATTCTCCAAAAAACTACTTAATGAACAAGATGTTTTCCTTTTGACCATGAGATCCCTCATAGTAATAATGAACTTTCAACAAACTATAAAATGCAAAAGATATTTAAAAAAATTGCGGTTAACATAAATACATGAAGAACATCTATCTTAAATTATTAACACTAACCCATCCCTTTAAAAGAAGTCCTGCGTCTTATGACATTAAATTAAACACTCCCAAAAGTAACATTTAGGCTTTAGAAGTCAAAAGCCAATTTCTGAAGGCCATGCGAAACAGGAACTTCCAATAAAACCATCATTCATTTAAAGACTGGACTAATGAGTCAAAATCAAATTCAAGCTAATATTTAATACATGACAGATTAGTTGTCTAATTGCTCAACATATAAGATATTTAAACAAACAGCGCAAAGCACAAAAACATATTTACTGCATAGACGTCAAACAAATAAGTCAAAATTCCAAAGACTAGGGAAGGGTAAAAAACAGTAAAGTGCATCCTAGCAAAAAATCCAACATAGAAGACAATTGCACAGGATTCTTGGAAGCTCTAGATTAATACATTAGAGAAAAGAACAATAAAGTGATAAACATTACCTTTTTGCTTAACCTTACAAGTGACTGGCTTTTATCCCGATCATCAATCAACTTGAGACAGAGCGGGTAAACCTCTACAATAAAAGTCTTGTGAATCATACCCTGAGAAATCAATTTTCTTGGTAATGCTGGTCCTCCTTTGTACCTGGGGGGAAAAAATCCATCAGAAACGGTGCACCAGTCAATTTACATATTATTATGTGGCTCTAGAAATCAAATACACTCCACCAACACTAAATCAGAAGATATCAAAGAAAAAGAAAAAAAATAAATGCATAGAATAAACCACTTTGATAGAAATATGAGCAGGCTCCTAAAAGCATGCTAGGAAGGAATAAGGAAAATTGAAAAAATAGGGGGGGGGGGGGGGGGAAGAAAACGAAAGTGAAAGTACCAATCCAATAATTTTTCCCAAACTTGTTGGGGAACTAGAACATAGTCCCGTCCTTCCTCCAACATTCTACGTAGCTCCAGTTCATCACCGTCAAAATCATCTTCTTTTAGAAGTATATCAGAATTATCGATCTCTCCAGGTCTACCTGCAGTCTTTACGGAAAGCACATCCATATTTTGGGATTCAGATGCCCACCCATCAACTGAAGATTCATCCATGGCTTGCCCGGCATATCTCTGCCAGCTTGAATACCATCTGTCCAAAATAGAAGAAGAAACCCGATTTCAACCATCTAAGTCATGGATGAAACAAAAAATATTGAAACCAAAAGGTAAACAGTGACCCAACAATTGCACGCATGGTAGTAAAGGTACAAGTCAATCATCTATGCATAGTGATAGGATTATGTTAGTAATTAGTTATCAATATAATAAGTGCTTAGTGGTGTAGTTAGTTGGATTTATGTGATGTGAGAATTAGTATAAAAGAGTGTTAGAAAAGTAAGTCCGTAGGCAATTAGTGAATTGACGTGGGACTTAGTCTCTAGGGAGAGATCAAAGCCTCTCGAAAGCTTTGAAACTATCTTGTATTCCATTATTTCTGTTTTACTTCTTCAATACAAAAATCAGTTTAATATCTTCTATATTTTGGATTTTATCAAGTGGCATTAGAGCATGCCCCACCTTAGGCCTGTGTTGCGGAAGAGGCGACCTGGAAAGGCCAGAGTGGGCCATCCAGAGTGGGCCGCTGTGGACGTCGGTGTCAAAAGTATGGTGGTATGTTAGGATCCTGGTTGAGTCCCACATTGCTGAAGTATGGGCTTAGCATGTGGATTTATAACCATTTGGACACCCTCTCCCTACAAGCTAACTTTTGGGGATGAGTTCTACCTAAAAGGTTGTAACACATAGCTATATTCAATTTTCTTAATCCAAACTATTCCACCGGTTCATACCAGTAGAATGCAGTTGAAGGTAGCATTTGATTTACCAGAAGCCAAAAAAAAAAAGTAGCAAGTTATCAACCTGAATATCCGCCTATGCTTTATGGCTCATTTTATGTTGCTTATTGAACAATTTTGCAGGATTTAATACATTCATAAAACTACTTTAGAACCATTCCAGGTGAAGCCCTCAGGCCCCCAACGTGAAATCAACAAGGATAACCTAACGATTAAGGATAGGAACTAAAATTGCTTTCAGATGAAGCAAAACTTTATGAAATTCTTTACTTGTATCAGATCAAATAAAGAAAGATACAAGGAATTTCAGTTAAACTAGGCAAGGCAAACCCAAGGGACTAAACATTAAAAAATCTAGCCAATATCCAATCCAATAGCCTCCCAGTATAGACGAATATCCAAATTCAAATTTCAACTAGTAGCCTAAGGAAGAAGAAGAAGAAGAAAAATTAGGTTCAAAGTTTAAACAAGTTGAAGGGATGAGCTCTAAAACCTAGGGCACTATGCACTAAACTAAATACGCTGAACGACATTGAAACTTAAAACTTCAACCATCCTAGAACAATAATAAGCAACTAATAATGCAAACCGTTAAATTCTATGTTCTTCGTATTTCTTTTGGTGAATAGTAACAAAATCGCAGATGCAGAAGCCGAAGCATACCAAATATTTCTCGCAAGTGCAAACTAGAAATTGAAAGGAAGAATTGCCAAAGTTTACCGATTTGAAACAACGTAATACAAGTTTCCCTCCTTCAAATTAGCCTCCGATTGATCGGTGAGCTCCTTAACGATCCGCTTCTCCTCCTCCGGCGGTAGAGGCAAGCAACTCGCGCCGTTATCGATCATGAATCCCGAATCAGGAATCGTCATGATCGATTCACGAAATCTACGGCACAAAATCGACTAATCAACCAACCAGTGACAAAAGATCTCCAAAAATTCAACAAACGCAGATAATTCACCGAGAGAAACAGTCAGAAGACTTGGCTCCGCGCCAAATTGAAGCGAGAAAAACAGATATTAGAGAGATTGAAGTGATTTCGATTGCAGAGAGAGAGAGATGTAACATTTGGACTTACCTTGAATCGGTGAAAATGGCGAGAGAGATCGACGAGCAGATTAAGAGAGAATGTGAAGAGATATCTGGAAGGATCGGAGAAGGAGAGAAGAAGAGAAGAAGAAGAAGAAGAAGAACCCTAGACTGCGCAGAAGAGGAGATGATCTGGATTGCGTCTGGAGAAATCTGAAACAGTCGTTTTCGACGATGATGTCTTTCTCTCTCTAACTCTCTCTCTCTTTCCTCGAAAGATGAGTCAGTCACGCACCCAAATTTTTATAGCCTCCATGGACGGCACACTCGTTAAAGCTTCTCCAACCAAACTTAAAAAAAAAATGTTTTGTTATTATTTATTTAGAAGTTTATCTCGTTCATTTCGCTGATTCGAGTTTAGAATTTGAGTTTAGATGTGATTTTATGTGAGAGCTTTTTACTGTAGTAAAAAAGTTAGATGTGACTGTTTCTAAGAACTTTTTATTGTAGTAAAACTCGAATTCTAAACTCGAATCGATGAAGTGAACGGGGCCTATTTTTCAAACACCAGATAACTATTTTCCGCAAAAAAATTACAAATAATATAAAACTTATTTCGAAAAGGAAAAAAAAAACCCTGATTCTGGAACGTGGATCCTAGATTCCGAGATAAATACCTGTGGAACCTTACACAAACTTTTTGTTAACAATCCAAAAAAATTCTGATGTGAATTTTTTTTAAAAAGAACTTATTAAAAAAAAAACCTCTGATGTTTTTTTTAATTACGTTTCTAAAACTCAAATACATTTAGAAAAACTCAAAATGCATGTGAATTTTTTTTAACCATCTCTAATATAAATATTATGCTAATTATATAATTAACATCAAAAATTATAATATAATATGTTATTTTTATTTTTACTTCAATACACAATGCTATTTAAAATGTTAAATATACTTTTTTTATATAATTATTAAACTTTAAAAGTTAAAAAAGTAAATTTTTATTTTTAAAATAATTATAAAATGTAAAAGTTACATTGATTACATAGAAAAAATAAACATTTCAATTAATAGTAATCAAATGTTAAATTTTTCATAGCTATTTTTAGTGAAAAAGTTACTATAAAGTATATCATATGAAAAATTTAATACAATAAATAATATTACATTAAAAAATATTTTTTACACTCAATTATTAAATTTATAATTGACACATTAATTATAACATTATCTAATCTGAGAAAACTTTTTGAATAGCGCAGTGTTTTGTTTTAGGCACACGTAAAGTTTTATTCCTTATACAACTCTTATCCAACTTTTTCTAGAAGTGTTACCATGTCTTCTTATTTTGAGGTAACGTTATGTCACCTCTTTTTTTCTGCCTTAGAAAATATCTATCTTATGACAGTTTTATTTTTATGATTCTTATATAAGTAATACTAAGACTAATCCCAATTTCTTTATATTCACTTTGTGCTTTCATTTTTTCATTAATAGATGTTTAAAAAAATTATCTTACATCAAAACAACTAATAATATGAAAACTCAAAATTGATAAAAAAAAAAATATAAATCAAATTTAGAATTGATATCCCAAACACTATTTTTTAGCACCTTTTTTTAATTCTTATATTTCTCTAATAAAATTTATTAACAAATATTTTCCACTTAACTGGAGCACCAATGGGTGAGTTTGGGAGGAAAAAAAAAAGGCGGTGTCTCGGCTCGGCGTTGGAGGGAGAGCAAGAGAAGATGGAACGGCGCAGTGACAGATGGCTAACTCTGCACCATATAGCACGCAAGTTTTATGATCCTTTCTATTCGCTGTCCCTTCTTATATTTTTGTTAACTTGAGTTCATGCTTCACTAACTAAGCATAAGCACCAGTGGTCTAGTGGTAGAATAGTACCCTGCCACGGTACAGACCCGGGTTCGATTCCCGGCTGGTGCATCCTCCTTTTTGTTTGCTTCATCGTTCCTGTATAATATTTTTGGCTTAATTCTGTTAAATTAAAATTATAATACCCTTTTGCAGAAGACTAAAAACAGACGACAATCCATTTTCAAGGTTTTCATCAGCGGAGATGGAGGAGGAAAGCACAAACTTGCTTCAAAGAGGCGAACTCGCAAAGCATATTCCAAAAGCTATTTTCAACAAGGGGAGAAAGGAAAAGAAAAATGCACAAGAGAGTGTATTATTTAAGAATTCTTACTAGAACGGTAAGCTAATTCATTTGGCTTCCTGTCAAAATTTACATCTAACTTATAGTATCCTATTATAGCCTCGACACTCTTAAGGCTCCTACTTAATACACGCTTCACTTAACAAATGGAATTCACATGTACACTAGTGTTGCAATTCTTAGATTCAAGTACGTACCAACCACCAGCAATCTTCCCCGATTTGGAATGGCTGGCCATGTTCGTCTCACTAAGATCACTTGCTCATCGAACAACAGTGAAAACGACACATTGACCTAACCGGGATCCTTACTACCAGGAGACCGTAAATACAAACAGCCTTCTATTCCAAGCATTAGCAAAACATAAATGGTGCTCCCATGAAGCAGACTACTGCCTCGGACTCGGAAGAATCTTCGGAGGCTGCCAAAAAGAGATTATTAATCTAACATCTACATTCACAGTGGTGTCCAGCTGAAAAGGTTAAAATCACATGGTTCCAGTCTCGTCTGAACTAACTGAGGCCTCACTTCCTTCAGGACGTGCTCCACCTCCCTGAATCTCATCCTCACTGGACATACTATCTTCGCTGGAATTGGACGATGTTCCAAAATCTTCATCGCTGATCAATTCTTGTTTCCGTCTTCTCCTGATATCCCTTACTCCTCTGCCTTGAAGAGCAAGTCTCCTGCGTTTTCGTGCTTTTCGCTTGCCTTTGGGGAAGTCTTCTTTCTGTGATTCAAGGCTTTTGCTATCGACTTGATTTGCAGTTTTCCCTTTGCCGTACTCGTTATCCTCTGAATCATCAGCGTCAAGCTTGCGCCTTTTCCTACTTGAATTTGTCTGGCAATAAAGAAGTTAAAAGCAAGAGTAAGACATAGTCAGTCATAGCACCCATAGATCATTATCAAGGCCCAAAGAAAATAAAGATGAGACCGTTATTTATACCAAATAAACTTACACAAAATCTCACGAACTCGTAACTCTCCTTTTTTTTTGGTTTTTTTTTTTTGGGCTTTCAACTCGTAACTCTATTTGTGCAACTAAAATGTTATCATTCTGTAATCTAAGCACCAAGGGTTGATTTAATTTCCCTATGTTTTGCCTTCTCTAGCTCAAAAGATCATATTTGTATTCGAAACTTCAGAGGATTAGTTTCCTGTTTGCCATTAGACAGGAAATAAAATTATCTTTCCCAAGAACAGCGATATGCAAAGACTTTAAGAGATTTGATAGTAAAATATCTACACCGTTTTCTAGTAGCTTAAATCACAGAGCTAAAAGCTTACTCTCATATTCATTCTGTAATCTAAGCACCGAGGTTTGAATTAATTTCCCCTATGTTTTGCCTTATCACGCTCAAAAGATCATATTTGTATTCAAAACATGAGAGGATTAGTTTCCTGTCTGCCATTAGACAGGAAACAAAATTATCTTTTTAGTTTTTCCCAAGAACAATGATATGCAACGACTTTAAGAGATTTGATAGTAAAAAGTATCTACACCCTTTTCTAATCGCTTAAATCACAGAGGCCAGAGCTAAAAAGCTCTCTCATACATGTTAAAGAAATGGTGCGACAATGTGAGAACCGCCATAATATTTTGTTTTTTCAGAAAATTTAATCGCTGATGGAAGTCCGAAGCGTGCTTTGGTGCATTCCAAGGAAACATCATTGCACGCAGAGAATGATTAGGAGGAAAGAAAGTGTTGCAAATGGTCAAGCACATACCTTGGGACCACGATCAACCAACCTAGCCCATTCGTGTCGGTTCCTCAAGCAATCAAGTACAGCCTGTGAATGACTTGTGTATGCATAACGCTCTCCATTATGCTTCCTCAAGTTGTGCCAATGCTGTGATTGCAGACACGAAAGAGAAAATAGTGAGTCATGGAAGAAAATCCTTCTATTTAAAGAAAACTATCAAGCGGATAAACATAGAATATTCTCTCAAAATAAGCAACCATACTGGCAGCACAGCATTACAGAGTTCCTCATACGTCATGCGCTTCCCTTTGCTCATAATCTCATTAATCAAGCCTGTGTGCAGAAAAAGATCAGAAAACTACAAGTAGAGAAGCAACCAAAAGGAATTAAGCAATCACACACAGTATATAACAGCTACCTGGTAAAGTACGATGAATTGGACCACCAACAGTGCCGGTATCTTCATCAGAAGTATTCCTAGGTGAACTTCGTATGGAGGACATATTACGCTCGTTGGCCTCGGTGGATGAAGAAGGACCACTGTTAGTGGCAGCAGAGGTAGAAGGCATATTCTTCTTGACAGACTCCATTGCCGAAGATCCATTTTCCTCCCTCTTGGTAGAAGCTTCTGCCGTATCATCTGTATCTTGTCTATTAAGATCATGAGAAGATGGAACTCTATCCTTCCTTTTACCTTCATCAGCAACCTCACGAGAACTTCGGAACCCATCTCTGGGAGCATCCCTGTACTTCCTTCTAGATACCTGTACAATAAGGATTTGTTACTAAATCACAACAGACAAACTAAAAACCGTCCTCCATAACCTTTTATATGTGTATGCTCAAAGCTGGATATAATTAAAAGGGAGTAGACTTCAGTCAAATGATAACCAATCATGAGTAGATCAGGGAAGCAAGAACTTACGGAGCTGTGATCTTTGCCTCCAGAACTTGAAGTACGCTTTATCAGCATGCTCGTGGCGCTTGGAGAAGACAGCTGAGGCAAGCTACCTGCATGGCGCACACGTGGTACACGAGGTACTCTAGGAGAGCTGTTGAGTTCTTGATGCAGCAGTAACGCAAGCTGCAAAAACATATAAAAGTGAGCACATAGAGATGCAAAATTATCTCCAGGAAAATAAGTTAAAACATTACTGGGAAAATCCTCTCACCTCCTCATCGCTTAGTGTAGCAGGTAAACTTGAAAGAACAGGCGGACACACAGAAGTCGTGTGATTCTGATTAATCTTAGAGGAAGGCTGGATATTTGGCTGGTTAAACTTTTCACCTTTTGGGGGCACCCCTGAAACTGTAGTTCTATTATGCGTATGTACAGCCTTCTGATGGTGTAGTGATCCAGTCGGCTCAACAGAGCCTGAAGAAACTGCAGTAGTATTTGCAGCTGAAGATGTTTTGGAAGACACACAAAGCACATTATCTTTTGATTCTGGTGTTGTTTTCTTGGAAAGCGGATCATGTGATATCCTGCTTGGGTGGGAGGGTTTTGGAGCAGAATGTAAAATTGATTTTGGACGCTCTTTCACAGATTTCCTCGGCACGTCATCCCTATCCTCTTCCCTGACATCATGTGGACAACGATCTTTTCTCACATTGGCATTACTTTCAGATGTGATTTGCGGTTTAGCAACAGGATTATGGTTTGAAGCATCAGTAGATTTGACATTATCAGAACTAGATGATTTGGCAGTCAATACAGTGGTTGGCATTGAAGAAGATTTTCCAGAACACGCTACCATGTTACGCTGACTGGGCAATCCCTGAGAGTTTAACATAGTTCCTCCTGCTCTGGAATGCTCTTCAGGAATCCCAGAACCCTTTTTTTGTTCTGAAGGGGTTTTCTGCAAAGCCATTAAACCATCTGCGCTCTCTAATTCTGATTTAAGCTGACAAGGCTCACCAGATAATTGATCGGCCTTGCTCATATGAGAATTGCCGACGGCTTCCAAAGAACGGTCAAGATGTTCTGCCTTATCATCACTGGACTGTGAAGTACTTATTGTTGCACTATTGAGTTTAGAAGTTTCCAACATCTTACCCAAAGATATGCCAGGATCTTTTGCATCACCTTGAGGAGAAGACTGAATATTTGGCAGAGAACCAGAGCTGTGATCGAGTTCTTTCTTCACTTCAAGATTAGGCAGTTCAGACTTCAATGACGTGTCAACATAAGAATCTTGAACTTGATTGTCTTTAACTTCAAGTGCAACACCAGGCACATCTTTGACGAGAGAGTTGTCAACATTTTTATCAGAGCTTTCAAAGCTATCATCCAGCTTACCAACTGTCATGTTATCTCCCTATCATCATGAAACAATGTAATTTTAACAAGCTGAAATTTAAACACTAAAAGAAGAATGTAAAAGACACAATAACCATTGTTCACAGCTCACATTAGAGTGAAAAACATAAACGCGAACATCATATGTTATAGTTTAAGGGATGATCGCAAAGATACAGCTTGTAATTTTATTTAAAATACAAAATCTACCCATTATGTTTGAAAACTACAAATTCATCCTTTTGTTTTAACTTTGGTGATTGGGGGATTTGAAGGCTACATCTTAAGGTGGAGTTCGGTGAGAAATTACTCACTCAGCTATGCCTATAACAACAAAACTACAATCTTACCCTTCAAATTTAATTTTTTGTTTCCAATGTAGAGGGAGAAGATTGAAACCAAAACTTGAAAACTAGTAAAGGTTGAAATCATCTTACTAAAGTGCATTTACATGCAACATTAGTAAACTAGGAACCTTTATTTATGCTCTAGAAAGCACACTAACAGCCTTGATTCAGATCCAAATCCCAGATAGTTAAGTATGATGGTTGCACAAAGTGGTGGTCAGAGAGCACACATTTTGTGTTGTCCAGCAGAGTAAGTGAAGCGAAGCTAAGGGTTATAGGTACTGCTTGGAAAATAACCATTTTATAACTTGTTGAATGTTCTTTAAAGAACCCCACAAAGGGAAAGGGAATAAAAACAACAAATGTGCATGGTTACGAAAGAAGGAATAAGAACAGCCGACATTCAAAAGAAGAACAAGAGCAAATTAGTAAATGTGAGTGGATACAAAAATACCTCTTCTTTCACATTATCGCGTTGAACTGATGATCCAACAGCGTCATCCTCTTTAGGAGAACTTTCTAGCACTGCAGGATGCTGATGGTCAATCTTCTCCTCCTTCAGTCCAGTACCAATTGGAAAATCTTGTCTAGACACATTTGAAGATAAGGCTTCTGTAGAATGCTTTTCAACATTACCATGAGCTGCAAGGTGAGGATTGGATGTAGGTTCTTTAATGGTTGTCTCCTTCAAATTCTTATTCTTCGTACTCTGAATTTCACCTTTAGGAAACTTCGGAGCTCTGTCTTCATAAAATTCCAATTGTTTTGCATCACTGGTGGGTGTAAACACTAGTAATAAAAATGGAAACAAAAAATTGGAATCAACATACACATGTCAGCTAGAACAAGATGTGACCCACTGTAAGGTGCCAACATTATCGACATTGACCAATATGATGGATAGCAGAATAAAAACTTGCATTTTTTTTAATCATTAGAGAGGAAGTCAAAAGTAGCAGCCTAATAACAAAAAGCACAGCAAGACCAAATTACCTATTTTGGAAGAATGTGTACCTCTCTTCTTAGCATCAACCTCTTTTTCAGTAGTTCTGGCTTTCTTCTTTCCGCTCCGATCTTTAGATATCCCCGAATCTTCTTTCTTCCGCCTACCAGAATGTAACACAACAGGGCGCACTAAGCTGCTCTCCTTCTTCCCACCATTCTCTGAACGCCTAGCATCTATACCCTCACTCCCCCATTTTTTTGCCTCTTTCAAAGAGACCTTCCGATTACGTGTAGCTTCCTCATCTCCACCTCTCAAACCAACCAAAGCAGCCACTGGAGTAGCAAACACACTCTCCTTTGACAAGGAGAACAGAACACCAGCACCTTTATCCACAGGATTCTCATTCTCTTCATCCAACTTATTATCACCACCTTCCTTCTCATCCCAACAAGGGAACTCCCTATACCGAAAGTTAAACTTCTTGGGCACATAGCCAGTGCACTTCCACAACTCCGGCGTAAAAACCGACGACAACCCACCAAACAAAGAAGGGTCACCGCCTGGTATCCCCTGGACATGTACCCTCTCCTCAATCGGTATATCCGTCCAAAGCCTAAAGGGCCGGCGAGGCGGCCCATTCGGCGCATAAGAATTCTCTATCCTCATAGTTTTAGTTGGAAGCTCAACCAACAATTGAGCAACCTCGGTCTCCTCGCTATCATTTCTATTGTTCTTGATCTTACACTTATCACAAACAAAAATATCATCTCCCTTCACATACCTGGAACACCTAGTGTGAACCCAAACGCCACACTCATCGCAATTAACCATCTCTTCCCCATCGTCGAAATTCACACCGCAGACGCAATCAACGGTCCAAGAACCATTGACCCAGTCGTCCGGAGGATCCGAACTCTGAAGGCGGTGGTGCGACCGGCCTTTCATGTCTTTTCTACCGAAACCTTCGATACAAAATCCCTAACCCTAACCCTAACCTTGCATAACTAAATTCGCATCTACCTTTCGTTTTGATGGCAAAAAAAAAAAAAAAACCTCAAATTCAAACAACCAAGAAATTTGCCTCAGTTCTGGTGCGACCAACCTTTCATATCTCCGACCACCTGGTCCCCAAACCAAAAACCTTAATACAATCCCTAACCCTAAGATTGGATAACTAAATTCGAATAAAACTTCGTGTGTTATGAATAAAGTTCGGGAATTGCCTCAGTTCTTTGCAATGAACGAGGTTCCGAACATCGTAGGAGTGAAGATTGAGGTCTAAGATTAGTACCTGGGAATTCAGGCTCCGGTTATGGCGACGCCTCTTGGGTTTTACGAGCTTCTTCGCCGTTGCCGTTTGGGGGATCTCTGACTCTCTCTCTCTATCCGCACGAACGAAAATGGCTTTCTTTTGCTTCTCTCCTCTCGCACGAACTGGCGGAACTGAAAGAGATGGATCCTTTTCTTCTTCTGGTTGTAGATTTTGATTTGGCGTCCGTCTTCTTTTTCTCGGCTCCAAAATATCACGACCCATTCCTTAATGGGCCTCTAAGGCCCGGAATGGTAGGCCCACCTTTTCAAAAGATTTTTATTTTAGAAGAAGACAAATACCTGATTTAAATTTTTAACTTTAGAGCTCGTTTAGTTTATAGATTAGAACTATGACATTATAACTATTTTTGATTTACGTGTATTTTTTATAAGAAAAAATACTATAATGAACTATAAACCATGATTCGAATCAGAGAACGAATCCTCCAACCAAACAGGTTCTTAATTAATATCTTTTTAATTACATAACTATATTAATCAAAAAGATATTAATTAAAAAAATAATAAAAATATAGACTCATGCATTATAATAAGTTCAACCATTTTCTTTAAAAAAAAAAGAAATAGACAAATACCCTTAAAATACATACTAAATATCAGTGTAAATGATCACAAATATAATTTTAAATCATGTCAAATCTCATCACAATCATATTAATTTAAATAAAATATAATAATTTAAAAGAATTTGATAAAAATACGATGTGTTGGAATTTTGTCCCGTAGAATACTACAAAACAGTTTTCTAAATACATTAAAGTAAGGTATAATATTATTATTAAAATACAATGTAAAATGTATGTGAATTTGAGAAAAACCATAATATAAAACAAATTAGAGAAATTGTAATATAGGCCATTTTGTTAAACTAGTTGTAGTAAATAGCACAATGATCAAGAGTAAAAGATTTAATTTTAGTATATTTGAAATTTTAGTATGTTGTCTTCTATTTTTACTTTTATGTTTTTTCTCTCTTGAAACTTTAAAAGATTTAATTTTGATCTCTTAATTTTTTAAAAATTATTTTTGGCTCATTAACTTTTGTAAAAAATTATATTTTGATCACTTAATTTTAAAAAAATTGTATTTTTGACACCTTAATTTTTGAAACATTACATTTGACCCATTTTTACCAAAAACAAAAAACACATTTATATTCGTGGTAAATGAATCATTTACCAGGTAAATCCATCATTTATAAGTTATTCTTGTGATCCTTTATTTACACGCCAATAATTTAGTTTGGTTGGTAAATAACGAATTTACTTAGTAAGTGACGCATTTATCAACCAAACACGCGGTAAATAACAAATTTACCTGTTAAATGCTTCAATTATCTGATAAATGCTTCATTTACTAACTAAAAGCACAGTAAATAATGAATTTATTAGGTAAATGATTCAATTACAACATTAAAAAAAAACAAATGTGATTTTGATTAATACTAAATCTACCATTTATATATGAATAAGTCCTTTTTTACGAGCCAATAGTTTTAGCTTATGTGGTAAATGATGAATTTACTCAATAAATTCTTTATTACCAGCCAATATGGGTGTTTTTGTAAAGTTTTTTAAAAATTAATCAAATGTAATATTTTTAAAAAATAAGGGTTCAAATTATAATTCTTAATAAAATAAAGGGTCAAATTATAATTTTCTAAAATATGAGGGGTAAATTTGTAACTTTCAAAAATTGAGGGTTTAAATTTGAATTTCTAAAAATTTAGGGTCAAAACTTTAATTTTATTATTTATAAAATTATTAGAATCTCAAAACTTTCGGACAGTAATATTTGACCCTACTAAATTGTTTTACAATAAAATCTATTATTATAATAGTTTAGGGATATTCTTGATATTTATAAAATGGTAAATGCCCATTTATTAAAATTATGTCTTTTTTTTTTTAAATGGACTTGAATTTTATTAGGCTGTATCGGCCAAAATTGAACGAGATAAAAAATAAGGGGATTTATCAATCCCAACCCAATCCAAATTGACAGCAAATACTGAGCTTGCCAAAGCGTGGCCACTGGCCAATAATGTTCCTATTCTTAGAAATATGTGTGCAACAACCGCTATTGACTTGAGAAAGCGAAAACTTAACATCAGTAACAATTGGGCTCTCAATAGCTAAGTCTACGGGAGAACATATAGTCCGACAAACATTAATAACATTTGTTTCTGTTATGAAATTGGATCAGGGCAAACAAGAAATCTCAGTAAAACACATCACGAATCAAAACCAGTAATTGAGAGGCCTTTTATTGAAACTTTTCTCACAACCCAGAAATTGATTACAAAAACAACCCTCAGAAAACCCAAGAGAATTCCTAATTCTATAGACTTTATCTCTAACATTCTCTCTCTATCTGAGTATCTAATCTAAAAAAAAAAAATCCTCATATATCAGCAATGAAATCACTTATTTATTACTAAGTCAAAGCCAATTACAATATGACACTTGACAGTCTTAAGAATCAACAATTCGTTACAACTTTAGAATATAAAAACAACTCTTAACAATCTCCACCTTTGTTCTTTATTCTAAAGTTTCTACGTTCCTTTAATTCTTAATATAAATCATCTTTAACAGCTTTAAGCAATGTTGAAACATTCATGCTGGTAAAGCTGCAGTGATCATACATGCTGGGTTGTCTTTTATTACAATCTTCTCCACAGCTACTGTACCTTTGGCCACCTCATCCCTTATGAAATGATACTTAACATCGACATGCTTGGTCCTCTCATGATGCATCTGGATTCTGATCAGGCGAATTGCACTTTGATTATCACAATACACAGTTACTGTTTTAATCTCATTCTGAACAAGCAAGTCAGAGAGTAACCCTTTGAGCTATAAGGTCTATTTAACAGCTTCAATGGCTGCAATATACTCCGCCTCTGTGGTTGAAAGAGCCACCACAGGTTGTAAGTTTGCTTTCCAACTGACTGTGTTCCCAAATACCTTGAACACATAACCAGTGAGAGACCTTCTAGTAACTATGCTTCCTGTAAAATCTGAGTCTGCAAAGCCCTCTACTAGTTCAGCTTCTACAGATGATCTTCCATACTTTAGTCTAAGACCAATTGTACCAATCATATACCTCATAATCCATTTTTAACAACACTTAAAGCATACGCTAGGTCCAGCCTGCTGCACACCATAAAATACATAATGCTGCCTACCACACTTGAATAAAGGACTTTCTTCATATACTGCACCTCATCTTCATCTTTTGGTGCTTAATCTGCACCTAACTTAAAGTTGTAACAAAATTGGCTTTGTTCATGCTGAAGTTGTCAAGTACCTTCTGCACATAGGAACTTTGAGACAAATATAACTCCTTACACTTCTTGCTTCTTGTTATCTCCATCCCGAGAATTTTCTTGGCAGGTCCAAGATCCTTCAACTTGAATTTTGTCTTCCGCCGCTCTTTGACATTCAAAACTTCTTCTGAGCTTTCACTTGCTATCAACATGTCATCGACATACAGTAGTAAGTAGACTATTTTCATATTCTCTTACTTCTTTTGATACAAACATGAGTCTAATTGCTTCTTATAAAACCAATCCTTAACATGAACTGATCAAACCTTTTATACCACATCCTAAAAGACTATTTCCGGCCATATAATGACATTCTCAATAAACATACCTAATTTTCAGCCCCTTTAACTATAAAGTCATCAGGTTGTTTCATATATATGGTCTCATGTAATTCTCCATTAAGGAAGGTCATTTTTACATCCATCTGTTCAAGCTCCATATCAAACTGAGCTACAAGTGCAAGCAAGATTCTGATTGAACTGTATTTCACCAAAGGGGAGAAATTTTCTGTGAAATCAACCCTTCTTTCTGTGTAAACCCTTTAACCACCAACCTTGCCTTGAATCTTGCTTTTTCCACACTCGGAATCCCTTCCTTCTTCTTATAAATCCATTTGCAACCTACTATACTTTTGTCATTTGGTCTATCAACCAATTCCCAGGTTCCCTTTTTATGGAGTGATGACATTTCCTCCTCCATGGCTTATAACCATTTATCCTTATCTTTACTCTCTATGGCTTATTTAAAGGACAGTGGTTCATCTTCCACGTCTAGATCCATACCTACAGTGAGAGCAAATGAAATGATATCAGTCTGTCCGTACCTCCGAGGTGCTTTGTGAAGTCTTCTCTGCCTGTCTCTTGCCGTGTTATAAGACTGAGTCGAAGTATCTTGTTGCTGCTCCACCTCCACCTAATCAGATTCTTCATTTTTCTGATCTTGAGGCTGTTGTATAGGTGATGTGATTATACCATTCTCCACCTCAAGCTCTAGTGGTTGGTTATCTTGTGTTGGTTGTGTAGTTGTCTCTGGTCTTTTTATCAAGTTTGTCATCTGATATTCGTTAAAAACTACATCTCTGTTAATCAAACATTTAGCATGACCTGGTTCGAGACACCACAACCTGTACCCTTTAACACCATCAGGATAACTAATGAACACACACTTCAGTGCTCGAGGCTCAAGTTTGTCTTGTCTTATGTGAGCATAGGCTATACAGCCAAAGGTTCTGAGTTTGCTATAATATACTAGTCTTCCACTCCATTTCTTGTGGGGTCTTAAAAGCAATTGCAGAAGAGGGGCACCTGTTTATTAGATAAGTTGTTGTAGTTACTGCTTCAGCCCAGAAGGTCTTTGGGAGCCCTGCATTGTCCAACATGCACCTCACACGCTCCATAATGGTTCCGTTGAAATGTTCAGCAAATCCATTTTACCGTGAGGTCTTTCTCACAGTAAAATGCCTAGTCATACCTTATTTTTTACACAACTGAGTAAACAGATTTACATAATATTCAAATCCATTATTTGTTCTCAGCTTTTTGACTTTTCTGCTGCTTTATGTCTCTAACAAGGTTTTCCACTCTTTTAATTTAGGGAAAGTATCATTTTTATTTTTCAAGATGTAGACCCATACTTTCCTAGAGTAGTCATCTGTGATGGATAAGAAATATCTTGCTCCACCATGAGAAGGAACCCTTGATGGACCCCATAGATCCGAATGGACATAGTCTAAAATCCCCTCTGTAGTATGTTGTCATGCGCTGAACTTAAGCCCTTTGGCTTTTCCTTAAAGACAT